GAGAGAAGACATCCATGGGTTTATTTTAAGTGCCTCAGGTTTGTGCAAGACTTGCCTCAGTTAAACCATGTGAACGAGCAAGCAAGAACTATAACAGGCCATACGTACATGAGTAAAAGTTTGTTCACAGCTATTCTGCACCAACTTGTGGACTAAACCCCCCAAGTTTAGGTGGCTCAGGAGGGGCTGCCAGATCCAGTTCCAGCGACCTTATTGCTCCTGCAGTAAACACAGATTTCATCAGTTTATCCTTGTGAACTATCATCTGTCTGTCTTTCTCTATAGAAACACACAATGTCCACTCTTGCATGTGCAAGAAGGTCAGGGTAGCAGAAAACTGGAAATTGCCTGTATGCCTGTCCAGAAGGGAGGTCAAGGGAATTGCGGTATATCCACACCATGGAAAATGGTGACCATTAAAAAAGATGAGGAGGTGGCTTTATAGAATGGGAGGATGATACATAGTTGACTTGAAGAAGCAAGTTGTGAACAATAGGAACAATATGTATACTTACCTCCTCATTACATTGGAAGTATGTGTCTCAATGGCTGCCCTGTTTAAATGGCTGGAGCCGCCCACCCCTGCCTTCTTTATGAGATGCTGACACCCACTGAGAGGCTACCACGTGCCCAGGCGGCTTCCCAAAGTTCCCAGTATGAAGAAAGTGGAGGTGGGGAATTAATTGATTGCTGCTTTCAATTCTTTGGGGTATATACTTAGAAGTGGAATTGCTGGGTCAGAGGGTAAGTCTATGTTTGAATTTTGGAGGAAATGTCCAAACTATTTCCACATGCTTCACCAATTTACACCCTACCAGCTGTGTATGATGGTTCCAGTTTATCCACATTCTCGCCAAAGCTTATTTTCTAGTTTGTTGTGATGGCTTTGTAGTGTAACCAAGCGGGATGCAGGGGTAGCTCGTTGTGGCTTTTGATTTGCTTTGCCTGGTGACTCATGGCACTGAGCATTTTTTCATATGCTTTTGGCTATCTGTGTCTTTGGAGAATAGAGAGACTCTATTCAAGGCCTTTGCCCATTACTTAATTGGATTTTCTTTTCATTTTTCTTTTGCCTTTTTGTTGTGCTTCCAGTTGAGTTATAAGGTTATGTAACAGACTCTTATCAGACATATAATTTGCAAGTATTTCCTCCCAATTTTTAGGCTGTTTTTTCACTGACTTGATAATGTCCTTCAACATGACAAATCTGAAAAAGTCCAGTTTCATTTCATAAAATCCAATTTGTTATTTCTTTTGTTGTTTGTACTTTAGCTGTGTCATATCTAAGAAATCATTGCCAAACCCAAGCTCATGAACTCTTCCTTTTGTATTTTATTCTAGAAGTTTTATAATTTTAGCTCTTGGGCCTTCCTGGTGGCCACAGGGGTTAAAGTCTCAGTGCTATCAACCTATCACCAGCCACTGCAGCATGAGTTCAATCCCTGGCCAGGGAGCTGACCCATACAGCACAGCAGACCTCACCTGTCTTGCCCGCTGCTCCCCTCAGCAGTGTATTTCAGCAGATGTGCCTATTCTGCTCCTCCACTCTGTCTCTGGTGAATCCTATCATCCCCCACACCTCTGGCCTGTACCCCAGTTCTTGTATGCATAAATAAATCTTTAAAAAATAATAATTTTATCTCTTATATGTAGGTCTTTGATCCATCTTGGGTTAACTTTTGTATAATGGTGTGAGCTAAGGGTCCAATTCATTCTTTTGCATGTGTATATCCAGTAGTCCCAGAACCATTTTTTAAAAAAACTATTCCCACTCAAAGGTCTTGATACCCCTGTCAAAAATCAAGACCATAAATGCATAGGTTTATTTCTGAACTCTTAATTCTATTCCATTGGTCTGTAAGTCTCTCCAATGCCATTTACCACACTGCTTTTTGATAATGGTTGTTTTATAATACATTTTGAAATTGAGAATAGCCAGTTCAACTTTGTTCTTTTTCAAAAATTGTTTTGGCTATTGAAATGCCTAGAGGGCCACATAAATTTTAGGATGAGTTTTTCTATTTCTAGAAAAAAAAACAAGGTTGGGATTTTTCTGGGAATTCAACTGAATCTGTAGATCACTTTGGGTCATGTTGTCATCTTAACAATGTTAAATCCTCCAACCCATAAACATGAGATGTTTTTCCATTTATTTACGTCTCCTTTCATTTCTTTCAACATTATTTTGTAAAATATGTGAACATTAAATTTATCACTTCAGTCACTTTATTTATTTTTTTTAAATAATAAATTTTATTTTTATATTCCCCATACAATTGAAGCCCCCCATTCTGACCCCAATCCCTCCCCTCCCGCCCCCACCCCCTAAAAGTGTCTCTGGTTCATAGTTTTTTGTTGATTTTGATTTTCACTTTCTTATAGTTATTCATTTTCCTGGTCCCTTATTTAAGTTTTCTAGATTCCTGCTATGAGTGAGACCATCCGGTATTTTTCTTTTTCTTTTTGGCTTATTTCGCTACTTCAGTCACTTTAGAGTATACATTTCCGTGACTTCCAGTAAATTCACAGTATTTTGTAATAATTACCAGTATCTTGTTCTGGAAATTTTCCATCCCTTCAAGTAGAAACTACTAATAATTCAGTTCCTACTCCCTTGCCCCTCACCCCCTAGCAACTGCAAGTATACTTTCTGTCCTTAATGCTGTGCCAGTTCTAGAAATTTCACATAAATGGCATCATCATCCATGTTGTGGCATTTATTCCTATGGCTGAATAATATTCCATCATATGGATATATAACATTTCGTTTATCCAGTCATCCATTGATGGACATTATTCAGTTCTTATCATTTATTTCCCCCAGGACCCACTCTTAAGTAATTGAGCTAAGATTCAGATTAAAACTTCCTCCCTTCCACATCCAGACTGAATAAGAAAGGAATGGTGAGAACTGAATGAATAACCTTCTGGCACACAGTAGTGGCTGAACTGTCCAGGCATGCACTTACTCAGAGACATTGCTCTGTTCTTGGAGCCCGGAGAGTGCTGTTCTAACTCACATTTGTCTGTCAAGTGATGACATTAGAATCAATATTGGAAACTAGTAGCCTTTTACTGTTACAGTATTTCTAGGTTCAATTCCCCATGTTGCCTCCTGGTAAGTGGTGACAGTAGTTTGGAAGCTGAAAGGTCTTCTCTGGCTGAGCAGAAGTCTGTTACACACAACAGCTCGTGTCCGTGGTTTTCTCTTGGAAGGAAGCAGGATGGTAGGGGGCTTGGGTGGGAGACTTCCTTTTCTCTGCTCTGCAGCCCTCAGAACCCCAGAACCTTTATCCTGCAGCCCCCACCTGCATCCCTCCCTCACCAACTCCTCCTGCTCTAGCCACAGCAGACATCCCACACACCACCACTGTCCCGTCTCCCTGTTCACCTAATCCTGGCCCGTTGTATGTAATGCTCCTTCTCTGTGCCCCACCCCATTCTGTGAGGACCCGTGACTGTACATGCCTGGGTCCCGACCCCACCAGGTGGTGGGTTCCTCCAGGTTCTCACCTTCACGCCCCTTGGGTGCATACCCCCAAGTCCTTGTGGATTTGAAGGGTCCTAGTTTTACAAGTTCATTACACGAAGGAAAACAATTCATTTTTTTTTAATTTACATCTATAATTTGTTTCTCTTCATGAAAGATGACACAGCAAGAAAAGCCACGCGTATCAAACCTCATGGGCCACAGGCACCTAGAGGAGACTTCTTACTGAATGAGTCCAATGGTAAGATGGTATCTGAGGGGAAAGGATGGGAGACAAGACCACACAGCAAAGGGTGTGCAGAGGGGAGATTGCTGTGAAGCTGTTTCAGCCCCTTCCAGAGAATACATGTGAAGGTGCTGATGGACAGAGGGCTCCTCTCTTCAGGGCATTAAGACCCATCCCTGAAGCTCTCCTGGCCAATGCAGTGTCTGGTTAGTGGGTGACAATGTGCTACTGTCCAGAGCTGCACCAGCTGAAACAGCTGACTGTCAGTGTGGTATTTCCAAAGTCTGATTGTGAAGATCTTAAGTCCTACTTCTAGGAACATGTTCTCAAAATAGATAACTCTATTATTAGCCAGGGAAGACTACTTGGGAGGAGGGAGAGAGGGGATACCTTCCTCTGAAGCTGTTTCTTCACAAGTAAGATATGCTGGGGCTTGGGGGGGGAGCTGGGCACTGCAGGAGGGGAGCACATGGGAATGTGAGAACATCTAATCCCTGGGGGAAGTTTCTAGACACACAGAGTCCCTGGCCTGCTCTGGAGCAAGTCCCTAAGAGTCTGGGGAGCACTAAGAAACCCTGAGATGGCAAACAATAATCTTATTTTGCACTAAGTCAACTGCTGTTTTTTTCCAGATTCAAATATAGGCAGGCAGGAAGCAAGGGTTTTATGGGAAGAAAACATCACCTTTTTCTTTGTAAGTCTTAATTTTTTCCTCCATGAACTGGATGGAACTTCTATCATGGATGAACTGGATGAACTGGATGGAACTTCTATCATGTGACCTTAGTGAAAGAATGTGCTAGCATAACATTCAGGACCCCCATATTACCTAGTAAGTTTCTAGTGCTAATTTCTAAACTCCAAAATGGGTGATGCTGAGATGTGGACACTTGATGCCGACAAGGGTCACATTACTTGCCCTTTGGGACCCCCTCCAGCATCTCACCACCAGAGGATGCAGTGGTGTGTCTGGTTTTGAGAATGGCTATGCTGTTGAAGAAGGAGCAGAACCAAGTCATGCCAAAATGCAGAAGACAGCTCACACCAACTTGATGAGCTATCCGAGGCTTGAATTCCTCTGCTGGAGCAAATGGCATGCCAGGAATGAGAAGGGCGTAGACAAACATGGGACATTACATCCCTAAAGTTCCTGCATCCCCATAAAAAGCTGAAGAATAGAAAACTCAAGAAGCTGATGAACATTTCACCATCCACAGCATGTATAGTCAGCTTTCATTTATTTCTTTAGTTATAAAACAACTGCCAAAACACAAAGCTTAAAAAAAACACACACAAAATTAAGTTTTTATTCCCTCTTTTGTTGCAGAAAATAAATAATGATCACATATTCCATAAGCTTGCTTATAAAAGCATTTCCAAGAAGGGTGTTAACTGGATTCAACAGTATAATCTGTTTTTTCAATTATAGGTATCATACAGTATTTCATTTATTATTTTTTTAAGTACTGGGGCTCCAGCAATTTTGGAAAAATGCTGTGAGCTTAAAAACCTTATTCCAAGTTATTTTTTAAATAGTTAAACTATAAACAACCGGGTCTTACTTAATTATGCAGAGAATATAGTTCTTCTTTTATAAAAATTACCCAGAAAACTCATAAACACCCAAATCGACATAAAAAGTTGGTCTATCTTTATAGGAATTAACAAGAAGAAAAGAACAAAACACGCTCCTGTGAAATACATCGAATCAGGCACGAACCCTCACAGTTCTCATCCAGTTTGGCCCTCAGGAGTTTTAAGATAGCAAAGCTGTTCAGTCATCTAAACCTATGTTCCTGAAAAGGTAGGACATGGACTCCCCATTGTGAATCCGGCGGATGGCTTCTGAAAGGATCATGCTGATATCCACAGTTTTGATCTTGGGGCACTGGAGCTTCTGGATTTCATGTGGAATTGTATTGGTAACTACCACCTGCAATTTAAGAGAAAATAAAATGAGAGAATCATAAAACCAAGTAGCCTCTGGTTTGGTCTGCAAATCTGATACATTCTCAAATTTCTGAGGTTCCCCTTGACAGGAAACCGGTGGGCCAACCTTCAACAGTGTTTGTAGTTCATGTGAACACTACCCGCACTTTGCAGGTTAAGACTTGACAATCGTGCAAACTATGGCCACTAGGGTGGCCGTAGGTTAAAAATCAGTATGAAGAGCAATCCCAGAGGCAGGCTATACCTAGGCTCTGTAACCACTTAAAAATAACAGCTTTGTTGCGCTACGATTCACTATCATACAACTCACCATTTAAAGTGCACAATTCATTAGGTTTTTTTTTTAAAGATTTATTTTATTTTTATACAAGAACCGGGGTACAGGCCAGATGCGCAGGAGGGTGAGAGGATTCACCAGGGACAGAGTGGGGAACAGAACAGGCAGACCGACTGAAATACACTACTGAGGGGAGCAGCGGACGAGACAGGAGAGGTCTGCCGCACCATGTGGGTATCTCCACGGCCGCCCGGGATCGAACCCACACTGGAGAGGCTGTGGACAGCCTCACAGCACAGCGCTCAACCTCCTGCACCACAAGTTCATATCTTGATTTACTAGCCCAACTACTATTTATGGCATCCTACTCAGAAAGACAAGGGCAAAGCCTCCCCTCACTCCCCTCTTCCACCTCCTAATGTGTTGATTCTGCCATTAGTTTTATATTATTTGTAACTTCATTATCTGCTGTGCAACTACACTTGGTCTATACGTTAACATGAAAAACTGTTCTTTCTAGCCAGGGTGAACACAGGAACCCATCTGGCCATTAGTTCTGACCAACTTCCCCCAGGGAGTAGCAACAACAGGGCACCCTCTCGTGCAGGTAAAAACAGCCATAGGGTGGCCTCTTTCTGAAGAGCTCCTGCTACTTAGGTCTGCTGCTCCTGGTTTTCTGCCTCTTCTCCAAAGTTCACTCTGGTCTGAGAGGCCTGCGCCAGCAGTCCCCTCTACCTCTTCTTTCTAAAGTGCCCACACACAGCACCCAAGAAAACCCCACTTAGCACCACATGTGGACAGACCAGTGAGAACTTCGGTCCTCACTCTTTCCATTTTACGTAATATGTGAATTCTGTGTTGTTGATTTTGCTACCTGGAACACCTTTAACATCATTCTTCATTTTTAGTATGTTTTGTCCAGCCGCGTGAGGCAATACTGATCTGAGCCCTGTGAATCCAGCCTTCCATCTGTGCGAAGGCATCCTGAATCCAATAAACACAGAGCCAGGGTCAGGGAGATCCCACATGGAAGAGTAAAATGTGAGGCTCAGAAAAGCAAAAGGAGTGTAACTCATTGAAGATTCAATACCCAGGCATATAGAGGATAAAACTTCAATTTCTTAAGAGAGAAAAAGAACTGGGCTTATATAATCACCCCCAGTCACTGGCCAGCCTCGGGAGTGAGGTGGACAGACAAGCGGAGAGGGCAAGCCTTGATGACCTTGCCTCAGTGACACTGGAAGCTGCAGGCAGCTTAGGAAAATTGTGCGGTTTGCCTTACTCTCCCAATTTCATACCACAGGCATCTGTACTAGGGAAAGGGCTGGGCTTTGAACCAAGCAAACCTAGATTTGAACCCAAAAGCTGGGTGGTGCAGCTATCTGACCGTAAGAAGTCTCTTAACTCTCCTGATGCACAATTTCTTAGTTCTAAAAGGGGGGCCGACACGCACCCTGCAGGGCTTGGTGGGACTCAGAGAGGCAAAGCACTGGACAGCACTGCACGGACAAGGTGCTAGACTTAGGAGTCACTGAAACCAGTAACTAGAACAATGGCCAAAGTCAGAGGCTCACAGCAGTGAAAGGCAAGCACAACCCTCATTTTGAATCCATTCTTCACTGCCAAACAGTTCTGCTTCCACCTGCTCACTCAGGCCAGGAGGAGGACGCGCACCAGCACACAGCCCGGCCGTTACCTCATCGATGGCAGATTCTTCAATCAGTCGGGGAGCGTCTGAGGATAACAAGCCATGAGTCGCCATCACAAAGATCTTATATGCACCTCTTTCCTTCAGGGTCTCTGCTGCAGCAAGAAAGCTGTCAACATCATCGATAATGTCATCCTGTCAAATTACAGATTTAGCAAAAGGGACATGAACACTTTTGCAAAAGCAGGTTTAGACAACCTGGAAAAGAAAGGATCTGGCTAATATCACATGAAAAATTAGCTGTTTCTCCTACACAGTGCCTGTCACTGCAGGCTGTCTCTCCCCCCATCTCATTCCCACCATGTACAACTGAGCCCTCTCGGTACTGGTGTTCCAGAAATGTCCCTTGAGCAGGCTTCTTAAAGCGTAGAATACTGTTTGAAGATGCTTTTTGTGGGGCTTCCCCACCCTTTTCTTGCTATTTTCCTTTTCCTTATTTATCCCAATTTATTCCACTGAGCAGAAGGGGAATGTGCTTTTTACGTATGTTTTTATAAACAGGAAAACGATTACAATGTTTAACAAAATACCCAGTTCAGTGGCCCTAATCTATGGATGACAGCTTCACAGGCTATCATTTATTTAAATTATTGGTATCACGCATTGTCTATAGTTGACTATATAAACATCACATATGTCTATTACTCTTTTCAAAAGTATATTGGCATTACTGTGACCAAAGGAACAATACACATCTGAAACTTGTAAAAAGTGTTCCTTGTACAATGGAGACTGCAAAGGTAAATACTGGTTATGAATGATGCTCATAGTCAGAGACAACTTGTGAAGGGACAGGAAGAGCAAGCCCAGAGGCAGCTTCAAGGGCAGCGGCCCACATTCTATTTCTCGAGTTGAGTGGAAGTCCCAAGGTATTCAAAATACTAGCATTGGGAAAACTGGGTCGCTACATGCAAAAGAATGAAGCTTGACTACTACCTAACACCATGCACAAAAACTAACTCAAAATGGATTAAAGAACTAGACATAAGACCTGAAACCATAAAATACATAGAAGGAAATATAGGCTAAACACTCCATGATATGCACATCAAGGACATCTTTACAGATACATCACCCAAAGCAGTGATAGTGAAGGCAAAAATCAACAGCTGGGACTACATCAAATTAAAGAGCTCCTGCACAGCAAAAGAGACAATAACCCAAACAAAGAGAAACCCCACCGACGGGGAGAACATTTTTGCACACAACACTAATGATAAAAGACTGATCACAAAAATCTACAAAGAGCTGATGAGACTCAACAAAAATAAAGAAAATAATCCAGTCAAAAAATGGGCAGAAGAGCTAAAAAGAAACTTCTCCAAAGAGGAAATGCAAATGGCCAACAGGGAAATGCAAATCAAAACCACACTGAGATACCATCTCACACCAGTGAGAATGGCACATATTAAAAAAACTAGCAACAACAAATGTTGGCGAGAGTGTGGAGAAAAAGGAATCTCCTGCACTGTTGGTGGGAGTGCAAACTGGCCCAACCACTATGGAGAGCTGTGTGGAGATTTCTTGACCTACTAAACATAGAGCTTCCATATGATCCAGCAATTCCACTCCTAGGTATTTACCCAAAGGACACAGAAACATCAATTCCAAAGAGCACCTGCACCCCTATGTTTACAGCAGCACTATTTACAATAGCTAAGCTTTGGAAACAACCCAAATGCCCAAAAATAGATGACTGGATCAAGAAGATGTGGTACATATACACCATGGAATATTCCTCAGCATTCAAAAAAGATAAACACATGCAATTTGCAGCAACATGGATGGCGCTGGAAGGGATCATGCTCAGCGAAATAAGCCAGAAAGAAAAAGAAAAATACCGGATGGTCTCACTCATAGCAGGAATCTAGAAAACTTAAATAAAGGACCAGGAAAAAGAATAACTATAAGAAAGAAAATATCAAACCCAACAAACAACTATGAACCAGAGACACTCTATGGGTGTGGGGGGCGGGGAAAGGAGGGTTTGGGGTCAAAATAAGGGGGTTGTAATTGAATGGGGAATATAAAAATAAAATTAAAAAAAAAACAAAAAACAAAATACATAGCATTAAATGTACTCCTTTTGTGCACTGGCTTTGGAAGTATTTTAAACAATAGATTTTGTAGCTATTTTTATCAGAAAATAATTTCCCAACTCTTATGGCAAAGAGTTGTACAATATTTAGTTAACAAAGTAGTTAGCAATTGCATATAAACTAACGATAACATTTTTCAATTTTTGAACCAAAGTAAACATTTAATATAAGGTACCAACTTCAATGAGACTTAGCTGGTCACAGCACTAGCCCCCCAAAACTAATGAGTAAGTTAATAGAGTAACAATGGCAAATACCACATTAATAATAAAAGAGTTTACTTACTACGATGATGGCGATCCTTCCTCCCACATCACCAACAACTGTGATTGGGGGCTTCTCTTTGGGAATCAGCACTGGTCAGAATAAAACACACACAAAAAGATTTCTGCATTAGAAAGCAAACCGAAGACTTTAAAAAGTTAATGTCTCATGATTTAAAAAGATGCAAGAAACTAGGAATAGATGGTAACTTCCTCAACCTGATAAAGGGCAATTATAAAAACCACACAGCCAATATCATATTTAATGAAAGACTAAAAACTTTCTCCTAAGAGCAAGAATAAGACAAAGATGCCCACTTTCATCACTGCTATCCAACATTGTACTGAAGGCACTAGCCAGGGCAGTTAGACAAGAAAAAGAAATAAAAGACATCCAGACTGGATAAGGAAGAAGTAAAACTATCTCTATTAGTAGATGATATTATCCTACATAAAAAATACCAAAGAATCCACACACAAAAAACTACCAAAGCTAATATGGTCACTTAACAACGGGGATCAGTTCTGAGAAATGTGTTGTACAGCCCACCTCACACCTGTATTGCAGACCACTATTAAATATGTGACCACTAGTAAACATGTGACTGTACATGAATTCACCAAAGTTGCAACACCGTAAAATCAGTTGTGTTTTTATACACCAGCGATGAACACGCTGAAGAAGGTATTAAGAAAACAAGCCCTTTTACGAAAGCATCAACATGAATAATATACCTAGGAAAAAATTTATCAAGGAGGTAAAAGACCTATACACTGAAATCTACAAAACAGCTGAAAGAAATTAAAGAAAACTTAAATGGAAAGACATTTCATTTTTGTGGATGAGAAGGCTTAATATTATTAAGATGGCAATACTCCCCAAAGTGATCTACAAATTCGATGTAATCCCTTTCAGAAAGCAGAAATGAAATGATCCTAAAATTCATACAGAAACTCAAGGGGCACTGAATAGACAAAACAATCTTGAAAAAGACAAAATTGGAGGACTCACACTTCCCCCTTTCTAAAGCTATTACAAAACTATATTAATCAAAACAGTGTGGCACTGACATAAAGATACAGAATTCAGAGTCCAATCCACAGGGCCAGCAGAAGTGCACTTGTGTCAAACAGACTAAGAAATGTGTTTCAGTTTTTGCCAACTTAAAAAATAAAAATAGAAGAGGTACTTAATTTGCCTTTGGAAAAAAATTAAGTTAGCTTTAAAATCAAAGAGGAATGCAACAAAGAAGGGCCAGGACACTTACTGGGGATCTCCAGGCTAGGGTGGATGGCAGCTACACTCCTGACCATAGGCGGGGAATGCCGTCCATCCACCAAGTCAGACTCTGCATCCTGTGCTTCTCCGTGAATCACTGCAATGCCCAGTCGCAGGCGCTCAGCAAAAGACTGTGCCCTGAGGGAGAATATTAGATACAGTTCAAATATCAGGCGGCATCTGTTTTCTGTTAAAGTCTATGAGAGAAACATTAAGAGAACATAAATAAAATACAATTTCTCAAAGGATTAATGAAAAAAGAGAATAATCTTAAGAGTTTTAGAGTCCAGGATGAAGTATGTGGACCCATGTGGTGGGCAATGGGGGTACCAATGTTCCTAGTTTGCACCTCACAGCTGAGTAAGCATGAGACTTAAACTACCCCCAAGTCTCCATTTTTTCACCAGTAATTGCTAATTTACCTATCTGTGTTCATAATAGTGAGCACCAACTATATGGGACAAATTGCAATGAATACCTACCCACCAAAGTATTACTCATCAAGTTTTTAATAGCTTTATTAGGGTATGATTGAGATACCACAAACTACATATTTAAGTTGAACAATGTCATACATGTATATAAAACACCTATCTATAGATGTTTCCTGGATCCCTTATAATTTCTCCTGCCACCACCAGGCAACAACTGATCTGCCTTCTGTCTCCATAGTTTACCTTTTATAGAATCTCATAAGTGGAATAAAAGTATACAGTACTTTTTTGTCTGACTTCAACACAATGTTTTGGAGATTCATCCACATTATACTGAATATCAACAGGTCATCCCTTAACACTAAGTAATATTCCACTGTACAGATTTACCTCAGTTTGCCCAGTTACTTGCTGATAGCCCTTTGGGTTGTTTCCAGTTAATTATTGCAAAACTGCCATGAACATTCACATACAAATCTTTGTATGAATACATGCTTTGTTTTCTATTAGGTGAATATCTCAGCATTAAATGGTTGGATCATACAGTAGGAATACAGCTGAATCTTTTTTTGAAAGATCAAACTGTTTTCCAAAGTATTTATACCATGAGCAGTGCATGAGAGTTCTAGTTTCTCCACATCCTCAAAAACATTTGGTATGGTCAGTCATTTCAATATGATCTATTCCAAAGGTATGTACTGGCATTTCATTGTGGTTTTACGATAAATGGTGTTGAACATCTTTCCAATTGCTTATTTGTCACTAGTATCTATTCTTTGGTAAAGAGTCTGTTTATCATTTGCCAATTATTATAATTGGGTTATTAGTTTCCTTAATAAGTTTTGAGAATGGGGCCTCTCTAGTGGCGCAAGGGGTTAAGATGCAGCACCACGAAGCTATCCGCAGCCACTGCAGCACGAGTTCAATCCCCGGCCAGAGAGGTGACCCACATGGCGCAGCAGACCTCTCCTGTCTCACCTGCTGTTCCCTTCAACAGTGTATTTCAGTAGATCTGCCTGTTCTATTCCCCACCCCGGTAAATCCTCTCACTGCCCACACCTCTGGTCCAGTTCTTGTATGCATAAATAAATAAATCTTTTTTTTAAAAAGAGGTAAAATATTTTAATAAAAACTGCTAAATATCCTAAAATCTAAGACATAGTATTTGCACATTTTAAATTCAGCCTTTAAGAAGATTTTGAAAATTCTGAGACAAAAAAGAGTTTAGACAAATACAATGGAAGAATCTTCACTACCTTCTGTCTCATCCTAACCTCATAGAGAATAGTACCATAGAGCTGAATTTCTCAAGACAGGCTTTGCAAAGACAGTTGTCACAAAAACTGATCTCTCAGTTGTCCTCTAAGGAAGCCTCCATCTGAAGAAGTCTGCCTGGAATAATGCTGTTTCAATAACTGTTAACCTATAAAATATAATACTTTCAAGATAAGTAAAATCATTACCTGCATACTGATGTTACTTTCTGGATGTTTTATATAACTGAATCATGTAACTTGAATTCTCACCTGATTCCAAAAAGAATCAGGATGGCTCCTGCAGGTTATATTGTTTTATACACTAACAGTCACAGAGGATAAATCCCAAAGCTGCTCAATCTTGCTCCTGGTTGTACAATAATGAAGGTTAATTTGAATCATTGGTCAAAATAAGACACAGGTTGCAGATTTTTTTTCTATCCACGCAGTTATTCTGAAAAAGCAATTCCAGGCAACTTAATAAATCAAGTTATGCTTCTTATTAAAATAACATTATAGGGGACCTCCCTGGTGGCTCAAGGGGTTAAGATGCCACCTATGAAGCTGTCTGCAGCCACTGCAGCACAAGTTCGATCCCTGGCCCAGGTCAGCCAGGGAGCAACCCACATAGTGCAGCAGACCTCTTCTGACTCGCCCGCTGCTCCCCTCAGCAGTGTACTTCGGTCGATCTGCCTGTTCTGTTCCCCACTCTGTCTCTGGTGAATCCTCTCAGCTCCCACATCTCTGGCCTGTACCCCAGCTCTTGTATGCATAAATAGATCTTTTAGAAAAAATAACATTATATTCTCAGATGTCCCCTTTTATTAAAATATTGTTCATTGTCTAAGAACTCTAAACAGTAGCTCCACTTCTAGACTTACTTCATCAATGATTTCTGAATTCTAAGAAGACTAACAAGCACCTTACAACATACTGGTATTTAAATGATAAAATCCTTCCCTATAGTCCTTCTGGCTTATTACAATTAAGATAAGTAGTAAGAGCATTATCCTCACTGATGAGAAAGCTGAGGCTTAGAGAGACTATCATGACTATGGTTCTCACCAAGGATGGCTAAGTCCTAATTAGAAATCCATGGACATCTCAATCCTAGTTTAATTATCTTTCTGCTGCCCCAGTTTATCTTTTAAATTAATCACAAGTGGAAAAAAAAAATTAGTCACAATTTTCTATGGTTAGGTTCCCAATGAAACACTTGGAGGAGGAAGGTAGAAACAATCAGGTCAAAAATGGCAAGTCACTAAGCCAAAGTGCCATCTCAAGCTCTAACCTGGATAAATCTGCAAATCAGGATATCAGAACAGAAGAAAACCACCACTACAGAGGTCTGGGAGACAGAGACAGACACAAAGTCGACTCTACAGTCAAATGCACCTGACCAGAGTTGTCTCACCATACCTTCAATGCAGAGATCAAACACCAAGCCACAACTATATTATTACCTCATCCTGACAAAACAGCCTTTTGTAGCAACGATCTCCATTCTAAACTATTTATTTAATGCAGTGTAACCTATATGACCGTCAATTGTTGGAATCTGGGAAAAAGAGGCTGCACCCTTCATTCCAATATGCCTAATAATCCACCAGGCAAACAGCACACAGGGCAGAGCCTGCAAGCTCCTGAGGAAAGGAGCAATGTCAGTAGTGAGGATCAGCTCTGCACAGGTGTAGCACATGGTGGGCACAGCACCGGGCACAAAACTGGACTCACACATGTATCAAGTGAAAACCAAGTGGATGGGCATGTCAATTTCAATCATAGTTGGCCAACACCCAAATCCCATAATCACAGGTGTGGAAAACACTCTAAGAAGTAATTAGTTGGGCCACTACCTTCCAATAAACAACATACAGCTGAATCATCTTGGATAAGCTTCTTTAACTCTTTCGGTCTATTTCCTCATCTGTGAGAGATAATAAATGCTAACTTCCTAGGCTGAGAAGATCACAGGAGATAATGTAGATGTCTTAGTCAGTTCCGGCTGCCATAACAGAACCACAGACTGAGTGGCTTAAACAACAGAAACTTATTTCTCAACAGTTTGGGTGGCTGGAAGTGAGATCCAGTAACTGGTGAGGATGTGCCTCCTGGTTTGCAGGTGGCCACCTTGTATGCTCACATGGCAGAGAGCAGAGTCAGCAAGCGCTTGTACCTTCTCATAAGGGCACTAAATTCCATCACAAGGGATCTACCTTCATGACCTAATTACCTCCTGAAGCCCCCACTTCCTAATGCCATCACATTGGGGATTAGAATTTCAACAATGAATTTGGTAAGAACACAAGCATTCAGTCCACACTGGTAGATAAAATACCTGACACGAACCATAAGCTCCCTGAGGCCTCTTCCCAGGCTTCATCAGACCCAGTACAATAGGTTCCCCGTTCATCATGGTAGCAACAACAAATATCAAAGACTCTGAGCAAAAGGGTACCACAATGATAAAAACTTTATCACCCATCCATGTATTTTACCAACACATGATGCTAGATGTACAAACTGAAGATTACAGAAGTTACTATAATAAAAGCCCATCCAGATGGGAAAGTAAAAGGAAAACTCATCATATTCTTCTGGTATTTAGTGGTGAAAATGATCAGAATACATTGCTCTCACTTCTACTTCTGCTTAGAGTATTCCTCCTACAAGTGCAACTATTAATAAAACTCTCACTATTTTATATGAAACTAACACAAGAAGACTCTAGAGATGAAGAGAAAGCAGACTAGCCAGGGACCTTGGGACTAGAAGAATAAGACTGCAGACACTTCTCTGGGCTTTCTTTGGTTGCATGACCCCAGACTTGCAGCCAGAGATGCTAGCAACCCCAGAATGGCAACAGGCACAGATTTTAAAAAGCCTGCTCCTCTCTTGGGCCAAAAGAGCAAGAGAGGGACAGACTCACAAGTCTTTAGATTTGAAAACAGTAACTCCCCTCATCCAGACAAATACTACAGAAAAACTTCTGCGCACCTCTCTTGCACATGAGATAAGGGTGGAGAGCAAGTCCCTGCTTCCTTGCCAGTCTACCAGGAGATGCCCCCTAACCCCTGGGGATGGTTTAAGAGAAAGACAAGTAGAGAGTCGGGCCTTCCATATCTACTCCCTAGTTATGAGCCTCAGCTCACACAGTGGCAGCGAGAGTGACACCTGGTCTTCCACAACTCAGCAATGAAGAGGCGTACTTCCCACCCTCACTGAGGCCTTGCAGACACAGAACTTTGACCAACACCCAACAGTAACAAGTAATATGAGTTAGTATCACCATTTCAACTGAGGAATGTTTTGATCTGACTGTAACTACAGAGCTACAGTAGTCAAAATAATATGGTACTAGTACACACATAATGGAATAGAACTGAGAGCTGAAATACACCCAAACATCAAGGCCAACTGATTTTGACAAGTGTGCCAAAGCTAGTCAATGATGAAAAAATAGTCTCTTCAACAAATTGTGCTGGACAACTGGATAACCACCAGGAAAAGAAAGAAGCTGGACCCCCTTTATCCCACATAAAAAAATTACCTCAAAATGGATCAATAACCCAAATATCAGAGCTAAAACTATTAAGAAAAAACAGAGGTAAAACTTACTGACCTCTGATTCAACAACAGATTCATACACGACACCAGGCCATTAAGCGCCAGCAACAACAAAGATAAATTGCTAAGAATGTGGAGAAATCAGAACCCTTAAAATGCTGCAACTTCTCTGGAAAACAGTTTGGTGGATCCTCAAAAATGTAAACACAGAATTACTGCATGACCGAGCAATGTCAATCCTAGGTATACATACACAAGAAATGAGACTCATTTAGGAATCAGACTCACTTAGAGAGGGGTAGTGGCTGTACAACACTGTGAATGCATTAAATGCCACTGAATTGTATGTTTAAAATAGTTAAATGTATGATATGAGATTTTCACCGTAATTTTAAAAAGCTTGTATATCAGAGAAAAAAAATGAAATTAAAATGTCAACACAGAAACTTGTCTGCAAGGGTTCACAGCAATACTATTCATAACAGCTAAAAGGCGGAAATAACCTAAATGTCTATCAATGCATAAATGGATAATCTGTAGTATATCCAGACAATGGAATTTTTTTTTAAAGATTTGTTTATTTATTTATACAAGCACTGGGTACAGTCAGAAGCACGGGAGGGTAAGAGAATTCAGAGCCAGAGTGGGGAGCAGAACAGTCAGACTGACAAAATACACTGCTGAGGGGAGCAGCGGGTGCGGCAGGAGAGGTCTGCGCGCCATGTGGGACCCCCACCAGCGGCTGGGGATCAAACCGGCGATGCAGAGGCTGTGGGCAGCTTCGCAATCCAGCACTCAACCGCTGCGCCACCAGGGAGGCCCAATGGAATATTATTGAGCACTAAAAAGGAATGAATTACTGACAAAGGCTACATTATGGATAAAACTTGGAAACATAAAAGGCCATGTATTATATGATTCCATTTACATGAACAATCCAGGAGAGGCAAACCCAAAGACAGAAAGTAGATTAGTGGTTGCCAGGGGCTGGGGAAAGAAGGGAGAATGGAAAATGATTACTTTTGAGTATAAGGAATTCCAGGATGATGAAAATGTTTTGAAAGTAGAGAGGAGTGGTGGCTGCACAATACTGTGAATGCATTAAATACCACTGAATTGTATATTTAAAATAGTTAAATGTATATTATGTGATTTTTCACCTTAATTTTAAAAAGCATGTATATCAGAGGAAAAAATTATGAAATTAAAATTAATTCAGCCCTTGTACCAATGTTAGAAAAAGCATTTGGAAAATGTTTGAATTCCACAATGAATCTCAGTTTACTTATCAAATGGGCTATGTGGGACTACCATTACGGTTTCTTGAATAGTATTGCTGTGAGGAAGCATGGTTGGCCACCATGCAGGATGCACTAGTTGGTGGTTCAAGAGCATGGTGATTCCATGTTTTACCACAAATGCCAACTCAAATTATTTAATATACTAAATATCATTCTTAATTTATAAGGGAAAACTACTTATCTGTAACACCTTTGAAATCAGTGACCTACTATATGTCAGCTCTCCTTCAGTCTCCAATATTAGCAGGCTGCAGGCCCATGCTGGAGGTGCCTTAGGCTTTCTTTCATTACACAGGATTCAACATTGACCAGTAAGCAAAGGTATTCAGTTGTGGGAAATAATTTTAAAAGTTTTTTTATGGTAAAGCTTTATTCCTACATTTGATTTTGTTTCTTCCCTCACCAATGGGGTGGCTTCTCCAGAAATCATTGGTATATGAAATCTTCACAACCCAAATACAACTTTAAGTAATGTATTAATTAAAATACTCATTTACTCCAGGTTACATGTAACTCACCCCATTTATATGCTTCGGAGTGTTTTAGTTTTGTAAAATGTTACCGTTTAACACACACCAATAAATGACCTCTCGGCTAGACTCAATTCTGTTAATAAATTACTGAATTACTTGTGTGACAGGCAGTAAACAACTACAAAGCATATTCCCTGGTGTTCTAAATTCCAGACTGGAAGATCAACAAGTAAGGGAAGCACTAGGGTGGGATTCCCCAGACCTGGATGGCTTTGGTCAAGAAATATGACTGGCAGCCGCAAATTGGGCTGTGGGAGGTAGGGGAAAGAAAAAAACAAATGATTAGTTTATAAATGGAGTTGGAAGAACAATCTTTCAAACGATCAGTCCACTGAATAAAAATAAGGGATATCTCAGCATCCAACCATTTACAGACTGTATCCCTCAGTGGCAACAACTGAAGTAGAATCCAAAAACACCCAAGAGCCAACCGGGGATAGGATGCTTGGATGAAGAAGCAAAGAGTGGTTGTGAGCTCCCACCTACCTCTTGGCTGAGGCTGGAGATTTGGCCACAATTACTGCATTCCTGTAATCTGGGATCTGTGACAGACAAGAAGTCAGGGGTCACTGCCATGTTGCCATGAGATTATTCACACCAACACCCGACAACATTCCAACAGACTCAGATATGTCATCTAGTCACCTCAAATTTATCCAAAAAGAGAAAAAGTCCAAAGTAAAGTTTTCCTTTGGAAAATGAAGAAATATTTACCTAGGCAAAATTATTAAGGTATGAGTCTCACAGATTTCTTTAAAGAAAAAAGTAGGTTTAGTTAGTTAGTAACTCATATCTAAGTGCCAGCAAAACCTGATAACATTCTGTAAAGATGTTTACATAAAATCAACAGGAAGTCCTCTCACGAAACCCAATTACATGTAATTTCATAGTGCAAGGACGATATCCATCCAACCTGAATCACAAGTAATTGTCAGATTCCAAATAAGTGCAGTCCAAACAAGTGACTAATGGGATCTCGTTCACGGCATATGGAAGAAACCAACTTGTTAAAGAACAATCAGCCCAGTGTTCTTTTACAAACATGTTAAGAGCCTTTCAGAAAATAATTAAAATATCAGTCTCCTCTGGAATCTTTGGCTGTTGAACATTTGCAATGACTCAGCATTAAAATGAGATGCTCTCATGCATGCAGAAAGACAGGAAGAGGGCAGCAGGGTGTAACTTTCATATGTGTAAATGAAAAGCTCACCATTGGAGGAATGTTATTTTCTTACAAGGCAACAATCAAATGCTTTATGGGACCTAAGAAAGGAAGATTACCCCAACAACCCAGTAAACAGAAGTTGTAAGAGAAGTGAACTGAGGAGGACTGCCTAACACATGCACAGCAGCACAACCAAAACAGGAGAAACAGCAAAGCTCTAGAACAATAATCCCCCTTTATCCACGGTTCTAGTTACCCCCAGTCAACTGTAGTCCAAAAGTATTACAGGTAATATCAAGTTCTATCAAGTTCTCCTTTCTCTCCTAGTTTTTCTCTCCTTTCTCTATCTAGTTCTCCTATCAAGTTCTCCTTTCTCTCCCTCAACCAAGGATCACATTCAGATAAATAATAGTGTATATTTATTAGAGTTTGTAAGTCTCTTGTGGAAAACTTTAAAGAAAATAACCAGAATACTTTATATTGTTCTCTTCCAAAAATACCTACATCCATTTTCACAATGTTCATTGCTGGAGGATGGGGAAGGCCAATACTCTTGACAGAAAAAAAGTTCCTCAGAAACCTATAGACTGTAAAAAGAGTTGCCTGGACGTTTTGAAAAACCTAAAGCTAACATAAAATTCAGTGAAAGACTGAAAGCTTTCACCCTACAGTCAGGAAGACACAGATGCCCACTTTCTCTGCTGTTGTTCAACATGGTACTGGAAGTTCTAGCCAGAACTATTAAGAAAGGGAAAGAAATAAAAGGTACTCTAACTGGAAAGAAAGAAGTCAAATTGCCTCCATTCACAGATGAGATGATCTAATATGTAGAAAACCCTACACATACAACACAAAAGAGCTATTTGAGGTAGTAAATGAATTTAGCAAAGTTGTAGGTACAAGATCAACACACTAAAAACAGGTTGTTTCTATTCATCAACAATGAACAATCTAAAAGGAAATTAAGATAAAATTTTGGGCCTCCCCTGGTGGCACAACGGTTGAGCGCTGGGCTGCAAAGCTGCCCACAGCCTCTGCAGCGCCGGTTCGATCCCCAGCCACCGGTGAGGGTCCCACATGGCGTGCAGACCTCTCCTGCCGTGCCCACTGCTCCCCTCAGCAGTGTACTTTGTCAGTCTGCTGTTCTGCTCCCCTCTCTGGCTCTGGTGAATTCTCTCACCCTCCCACGCTTCTGACTGTGCCCAGTGCTTGTATAAATAAATAAATAAATCTTCAAAAAAAAAAAAAAGATAAAATTTGCATATATGATAGCATTCTGGAAATAAATTTAACCAAGGGAATGAAAGACTTGTACACTGAAAACGGTAAAGCAATGCTTAAGAAAATCAGAGAAATGTGAACATGTGGAAAGAGATATCATATTCATGGTTAGAAGACTTAATGTTGAGATGGTAATACTGCCCGATGCAATTTATGATTCAATACAATCCTTATAAAAATTCCAACAACTTTTGAGCAGAAACAGAAAAGCCAAACCTTACATTTATATGGAACTGCAAAACCTGAATAACCAAAATAATCTTGAAAAAGAAGAGCAAATCTGGAGGACTCAAGCTCCCCAATTTTAAAACTTACTCTAAGGCTACATGCAGTAATCAAAACTGGGTATGGTACAGGCATGAGCTAAACATACAGAACAAAACTGAGAGGCCAGAAATAAGCCCAAAGAGCTATAGCCCATTTTTTTTGACAAGAGGTTTCTGACATTCAGTGGGGAAAAGAATACTTTTTCAACAACAACTAGACAACCTACGCACAAAAGAATGAAGTTGGACTCCTACCTCGCATCCTATATAAAAATTAATTCAAAATGGGTCAACCTAAATATAAGAGCTAAAACGAAAACCCACAGAACAGGGATTGTAAATGTTTATGTTTTGTTGCTTTTTTAGATATGATAGCAAAAGCATGAGTTAACAGAAGAAAACATATATAAATTAGACTTCATCAAAGTCAAAATCTTAGCAAAAGAAAAAATAAGTTGCAGTTTTAAAGAATCTAATGGTTACCAGAGGGAACAGAGGTGGATAGAGGGTGCAGGGGAGAGGGGCAGAAGTGGGTAGTGGCACAGGTGGTTTGGTGGAGGGTGAGTGGAACACATGCACATATGGAAGAGCAAAAATGCAACCCCAAAATTAAAATAAATTTTTTTTAAATTTTTTAAAGACTTAAGAATAAAAAAAAATTTGCAGATTAATCATTTTTAAACACAATGAATTTTTTTATATTATATATATATATATATACCCCACAACTTCTTTTTTTTTTTAAATAATAAATTTTATTTTTATATTCCCCATACAATTGCAACCGCCCCATTCTGACCCCAATCCCTCCCCTCCCGCCCCCCACCCCCCAAAAAGTGTCTCTGGTTCATAGTTTTTTGTTGATTTTGATTTTCACTTTCTTATAGTTATTCATTTTCCTGGTCCCTTATTTAAGTTTTCTAGATTCCTACTATGAGTGAGACCATCCGGTATTTTTCTTTTTCTTTATGGCTTATTTCGCTGAGCATGATCCCTTCCAGCACCATCCATGTTGCTACAAATTGCATGTGTTTATCTTTTTTGAATGCTGAGTAATATTCCATGGTATATATGTACCACATCTTCTTGATCCAGTCATCTATTTTTGGGCATTTGGGCTGCTTCCAAAGCTTAGCTATTGTAAATAGAGCTGCTATAAACATAGGGGTGCAGGTGCCCTTTGGAATTGATGTTTCTGTGTCCTTTGGGTAAATACCTAGGAGTGGAATTGCTGGATTATATGGAAGCTCTATGTTTAGTAGGTCCAGAAATCTCCTCACAGCTCTCCATAGTGGTTGGACCAGTTTGTACTCCCACCAACAGTGCAGAAGAGTTCCTTTTTCTCCACACCCTCGCCAACATTTGTTGTTGCTAGTTTTTTTAATATGTGCCATTCTCACTGGTGTGAGATGGTTTCTCATGGTAGTTTTGATTTGCATTTCCCTGATTGCAAGTGATGTTGAACATTTTTTCATATGCCTGTTGGCCATTCGCATTTAAACACAATGAATTTTATATGTATAGAGTAAATAGCACCTTAAGCAGAACACATCAAGTTTAATCTTTTATGGACAGCCTAAGAAAATGGAAACATATCTTTTAACATTAAGCAGAATGTTAAAATTAAAAGGTTTGCAATAGCTTACCTCTTCTTGAATATACTGTAATAAGAAGGGAGATGCTCTTAAATTATCAACAGGAATGTTGAAGAAGCCCTGAATTTCCTTCTGGTGTAAATCCATAGTAATAAGATGTGTTAGACCTTTGGAAAGAAAGCAGACACAAAAATATAAATAAGTTGAAAGACATATGAAGTAACTACTATATAAATAAGGTACTACAGATAAAAAATTACTTTTAGATGAATAAATTACTTTTTTTTAACTTTTTTTTTTTAAAAGATTTATTTATTTAATTATTTATGCAAGCACTGGGTATAGTCAGAAGCGTGGGAGGGTGACTGAATTCACCAGAGCCAGAGCAGGGAACAGAACAGGTAGACCGATGAAATACACTGCTGAGGGGAGCAGAAGGTGGCAGGAGAGGTCTGCATGGCATGTGGGACCCTTGCCGGCAGCCGGGGATCGAACCGGCGCTGCAGAGGCTGCGGACAGCTTTGCAGCCCAGCACTCAACTGCTGTGCTACCGGGGAGGCCCTAGATGAATAAATTATTAAAAACTGCTCTCATCAAAAATAGTTAGCACCTTTTTTTCATTATAATGAAAATGTGAGACAAAGGTAGATACACAGGTTTCCACCCCTCATTCTGGCCCACTGGTCCTAAAGCCCTTGTAATTTCCTGAGTGAGCACTTTTATATCCTGAGCATTTTTGGTTCTAATATTTGATTTTTTACCTTATCCCTGACACAGAGTTCTTAAACCCCTTGGAATTTGGGTGATAGAGGTGAGGCTGGGTACTGGAAAGACCAAACCGTGATTAGCAGCTGGGGACTTTCAGCCCCAGCCCCCACTGTCCAAAGAGAGGAGAGGGGCTGAAATAGAGTTAATGCCTGATCATGAGGAAGCCTCCATGAATTCCTAAAATGCAAGATTCAGCGATCTTCTAAGCTGATGAACATGGAGGTGCTGGGAGAACAGTACTCAGAGAAGGCACAGAATCCCTTCCCGCACAGCTGGCCCTATGCGTCTCTTCCGTCTGAATATTCATCTGTGCCCTTGATCACATCCTTTTACAATAAACTGGCAAGCAGTAAGCAAACAGTTTTCCCAAGTTCTCTGGGTCACTCTATCAAATAAGAGGGAGTCATGGGAACCTCAGATTTATAGTCAACTGGTCAGAAGCAGACGTAACAGCTCAGAGTTGTGATTGGCATCTGAGGGGGAAGTCTCCTAGGGCTGAATCCTTAACCTGTGGGTCTGACACTATGTCAGAACTGAGATGCAGGACACCACGTGGTACAGGGACAACCATGCACACAGGTGGTGACCAGAGGTATAAGAAATGATGTGTTCTATAAAAGCAGGAAAGGAGACATGAAAAAGGTGGAGAACTGGGTTTTCCCTACCCAGGGAAAGACTGAGTAGTTTGTTACACAAAGAACTGATTTTTCACATCAATTTAAAATCTTGAAATAACAAAGACAAATAACAGCAATGAAAAAATGTCTCTATAATTCTATCAGAGGTAATGACATACATCACCTTGAAGTTTCCCTAACAACATGGCAAAGTCAAATTAGTCAAATATTATCTTAAGATATTAACTTTCACCCCTCACTGGCTCCTTCAAGGATATCTGACATGGTCACCAGAGAAGTACAGGAAGATTTAGTTTAAAAAATTTTAAAGGGAAACTCGCCCAAAGGAGCAGCAAAAGGGGTCTGGAGGCCCACCCAGGGGCTACGCCAGAAGAGAAGGGCAGCATTTTTCCAGACTTGGTGAGCCCACCTCTGCCTTCAGCACCCTGCCTGTCACAGGGCTGTGGTGGGTTTCAGGTGTTATCAAATGTTCCTTTGTTTTCTGTCTTTAGAGTGCTACAACAGCAAGTGTTAAAATGTAGTGACGTGGAGACTTTGTACTATTGCACTATTTGTCAGTGTCAATGCTCTGTGATAGGTACTTTCTAAAATTATACACACACACACACACACACACACATACACAACAACTCTGATGATTATAGAGAAACAAGGGGAAGCATTTAGGATGTTACGTAAAAATGCACAACACAAAATAATACATGGTTTGCAAAATATACCAATCTGTCCTGGGGAAGGAAAGACGCTAACATAAAAACAGTTGCTGTGTAAAGATAGTCCCAAATGTCTTTTTTCCCCTTTAAAGATAAACTGAATATGATTGTGACTTGTCATCTCAGTGTCATTTTCCCCTCACCTCTCAAAAGCAATTTTTTAAACAAAGAATTTTAAGGAAAAAAAGTCATTCTCATCATTTTTGTGCTTTAGGGAGTTGGGAACAGGGGGGAATTCTCTATACTGTTTTCTCATTATAAACTAATTGTTTTTAAAACTGTATCACTAATTTTACTCTCCAGCAATGTTCTAGACAATGTTCTAGGATTTCTAAGGTAAAATAAAACTCCCAGGCCCCCAATTATAAAATATCTGCCATCCTTACCAGCTTTGCACATCATTGAAGCTAGCAATTTAGAAACAATGGAGCCTCTTTTTCTCATCTTGCACTGCTTGCTGTATGGAAAGTAGGGAATCACCCCGATGATGCTCTTGGCACAGGAGGTCTTACATGCATATACCATAATCAGGAGCTCCATGATGGTGGTGTTGACATCCCTGTAACCCCAAAGAAAAGCCCAGAAAGAAATGTAAGACACAAGACAGCCTCTCCCTGTTCCAACAAAGAACCAGCAATGCACTGCTCTCTCCAAGACTGAAGGCTCAAGACACACACACAAAAAACTCCAATAAATTCCTGCCTTCTCACAATGGGGGTCTCCATCAGCTCCCTCCACATTCCCTCTCAGTCTACGACCATATTTCCTTTTTCACTGGGAAAAGTACACCAAAGAGACCTTCCAGACCCCGACCCCACAAGCATCTGCAACCCTTCCAGTCAGCCTGGGCACCCCCCCATTAGAGCAGAACTTGCCACACCAAAGTTGCCACATATTAACTCCTCCATATTATGCTCTCATCCCTAGGCCCTCTTGCCTTCTGGAAGACATGGCTCCAGCAATCTACCCTCTCTAATTCTGTCATCCATTTGTTAAGCAAACCCGGCTCATATCTATCAATCTACATCATTTCTTCCATTGAAAAAAAACTCGAGCACATTTCCCACTGCCTCATTTCTCTGCTCCCCTGTGTAGGACACCTCAAAAGAGTTGTCCACACTCTGAAAGAGAACAAGTAGAGGAACCAACAGTGAGTGAAAGAAACCAAAGTTCCCAACTATGCCCCCAGGAACAGCATTTTTCTGTGAGTTGAAACAAGGCTTTCCATCACTAAACTCAAACAATAAAAATCTTAGACCGGCAGGAAAAATTAACTGAATGGACATAATTTTTTAAAAATTTTAATAAATTGCCATTGTTTTACATCCCTGTTAATTTTTTGACAGTATAAGGATTTCTCCCCTGAGGTGTGGTCACCGTAGCTCTCCCACCACCAAAGCACCCATAGTCCTCCACTACTGTCCACTGTGCTCCCCTCAACTCCCCCAGACCCTGTCCTCACTTCTACTCAACCCCCCCGCTGCTTCCTGGATGTCTCAGATCTATGGTCAGTTTTTAAGGGTTAGTTTTAAAGTTTGTCTTTGTCTGATCTTCTGTTTGGTTTCTCTAATTCCAAGTCAGTGACACCATCAGGTATTTATCTTTCCCCTTCTCACTTATTTCCCTTAGCATAATCCCTTCCAGCTCCATCCACGCTGCCACCAATGGCATAAATTTATCTTTTTTGATCACTGAGTATATATCACATATTCTTTTTTTTTTTTTTAAAGATTTATTTATTTATTTATACAAGCACTGGGTACAGTCAGAAGCGCGGGAGGGTGAAAGAATTCACAGAGCCAGAGCAGGGAACAGAACAGACAGACTGACGAAGAAATACACTGCTGAGGGGAGCAGCGGGCTGCAGGAGAGGTCTGCGCACCATGTGGCAACCTCGCCAGGGGCCGGGGAATGAAGCGGCGCTGCAGAGGCTGCGGGCAGCTTTGCAGCCCAGCGTTCAACCACTGAGCCACCAGGGGAGGCCCCTATATCACATATTCTTGATCTACTCATCTGTTTTGGGGCACTTAGGTTGTTTCCATATCTTGGCTATTGTAAATAGTGCTGCAATAAACATAGGAGTGCAGGTTTCTTTCTCAATTAGTGTTTTTGTTTTCTTTGTATAGGAGTGGAATTGCTGGGTCATATGGCAGATTCAATTTTAGTCTTTTGAGGAACTTCCACGCTGCTTTCCATAGGGGCTGGTACACAGAATTTTCTTACTTAAATTTTTTTCTTATTGATCTAGGGCCTACCACTAGACTATACTAAAATGAAGTATAAGATGCATCTGACAAAACCAAATTTTAATGTTGTCTATTTCACCGTATTTCGCAAAGAAAACCATGACATCCTGGATTTCTACAGTCTAGCTACAACTAAGAAGCCCTGTTCTAACATAAGCCTTCAACACAGTACTGAACAATGCAAAATGAGACAGAGAGAAAATCAGGGGGGTGGTTTTGGCTAAAACACTAAGAAACTAAGGAAACAAACTAAATGCCACAACATGGGTACATAGGTAACGAAGATGTGGCATAACATAAAATGGGATATTATTTGCTGTGAGAAAAGAGGATAGCCACATCCCACCATTTGCAACAACATGGATGAAACCTTGGTTCTTCATGCTAAGTGAGAAAAGTTAGAGAAAGACAAGTATACAGTATCAGTTACACATAAAACCTAAAAAATCAAACAGGTAACAGTAAAATGGGGATGGGAAGATAAGACTAATGTTACAAACTTGCAACAAGTAGTAAAATAAGCCATATAAAACTAATATAATGAATAGAGGCAATATTATATAATTATGTAAATAAATATCACTATGATAATCATATTACAATATATAAATGTACCAAAGCAACACAGTTGTACACCTTAAATCTACAATGTCCTATGTCAAATTTATTCAATGAAAAAGTAAGCAAAAAGAGGGCCTCCCCTGGTGGCTCAGTGGTTGAGCACTGGGCTGCAAAGCTGCCTGCAGCCTCTGCAGCGCCGGTTCGATCCCCGGCCACTGGCGAGGGCCCCCACATGGCGCGCAGACCTCTCCTGCCACCCGCTGCTCCCCTCAGCAGTATACTTCGGTCCTTCTGCCTGTTCTGCTCCCGGTTCTGGCTCTGGTGAATTCTCTCACCCTCCCACGCTTCTGACTGTACCCAATGCTTGTATAAATAAATAAATAAATCTTTAAAAAAAAAAAAAAGTAAGCAAAAAGAGTCTCTACTCTTAATACATGGTTATTTCCACCCTTCCTAATACTCAAAGCACACAGAGGCAGCAGTTATGTCAGAAAAATTAAGGGAGTAAGATATGCTCATTGTAAAACTATCTTAATCCTCTGATCTAACAAACTCATTATTCTAAATCAAAAACCCAGAAAGCTACAACACTTCTGTGGGATAAATACTCACTTTGAAATAGTCTGGATGATGAAAACATCTTTTCCCCTCACGGACTCTTGGATTTGTACTCTTGTTTCTGGCAGAAAAGAAAAAAAGAGAAGGGATAAAGAAGGCATATAATTTACATTTTCAAAAATATACCAAAAACCTGCATCATACTCCAATGTCACAATAAATATGGAAATGTAATTGTTATAAAATGCATTAGGATTACAGTGTTACAAACAATAATAAACATACTGCCCATTAAACTTTCTAAACATGCTTAGTCACATGACCTGCAGAAGAGGGAATTAGATTCCTGACTTGAAACAAGTAAATCTGTCCTTCTCAATTTTTATATATGAGAGCTGAACCTATCCTTCTAAGAAATGATATACTCATTTGTTTAACCAGTAATAATTAAGAATTATTAGGCACACAATGTTAGAGTGCTGTGAGAGTCAAGACAAGGTCCAATATCCCTACTCTCAAAAAATATGTGACCAGTCTCAAAGAAACAATCAGACAAATCCAGAATGGACATATTATAAGACACTTCCTCAAAAAGTCAACATCATGGGAAGAAAAGAAAGAAAAGGTAAGGGGACTCTTCTAAAACAGAGAAACTAAAGTCAAAACAAAAAATAAACAGATATATAAGGTTCTTTAGGACAACTATGGTGATCTGAATATAGAATAGCTCTTAAATGACTGAAAAACTAGTAGTTTCATTGAATGTGTCAACAGTATTTACTTTGTAAGAGAAAGTCCTTACTTTTAGGTGATGGATGGTCAAGTACTCAGGGCTTAAGTGCCGATTTCTGCTACTTACTTCAAATGATTCCACATATACATAATCACAGCAAAATGTTACATAATCACACAGCAAAATATTAACTAATGGGCCTTCCCGGTGGCGCAGCGGTTGAGCGATGGGTTGCAAAGCTGCCCGCAGCTTCTGCAGTGCCGGTTTGATCCCCGGCTGCTCCCCGGCCACCGGAGGAGGGTCCCGCATGGCGCGCAGACCTCTCCTGCTGCCCGCTGCTCCCCTCAGCAGTGTACTTTGGTCCTTCTGCCTGCTCTGCTCCCCACTCTGGCTCTGGTGAATTCTCTCACCCTCCCGCACTTCTGACTGTACCCAGTGCTTGTATAGATAAATAGATAAATCTTAAAAAAAAAAAAAAGAATATTTTAAAAAATAAATTAAAAAAAAATATTAACTAATGACTCCAGGTGGTACATATATATATGGCTCTCTATTATACTATTCTCCCCTCTTTTTTAATCTTTGAACATTTTCACTAAAAATGTTCAGGAAAAAAACAGAATGCAGGTTAACAAGGAATGTAGTAGCATGGAAAGAGAGTGCATTTCAGAGTCAGAGAGATCTGGATTAGAATTCTGACTCTGCTGCCTCTGGGACCCTGTACTGAACACCATCCCCAAACTCAATTTTCACTGTCTGATAACAGTCAGGAATCTACAAATGTTAGTGCCCTCCTTCCTCCCCAAGAGACACCAAGTATGTTCTCCCCCTCATTCACCAGCCTGGAGGGTGGACCAAGCTCCTCTGAACTTCTACCACCACTCTCTCATCTTGCCATAACCCTCCCTTCCAGACTAGACACAGGACATCATCCAGCTCTCTTCATCAGCAGAATCTTCTCTAAACTCTCCCTGCATATTGTCTTCGATTACATTGTTTTCTTACTAAAGCCACATGGGGATCTTGGCAGACAGGAAAGGAGGCAGTAATGGAGAAATAAATAGGGGAAGGAAAAAGTTGTCCTTTTCTGCAAAGACTCTTGAAGATTCTATAATATTTAAGTACTTGACAAAATTCTATAGTGGAAAAGGGGAGGTAACTAACAGTTAATGAGCAACTGCTCAGTTACTGTGTTACACACACAAACCATCCCACTTAGTTCCCAATTTACTGACTAGAAAAATTAAATAATTTGCCAAGGATAAGCTGTGGGACTCTCAAGTCCATGCAAGCTGTCCTCTTGCACTCCTGCTAGAATGGTCAAACACCCACCATTTCTAAAGCAATTACAAGGATTAAGTAATGCACGCTTGTTACAATTTTAGATGTTTATTATATATAGATCAATTAACAAAAAGCAATTCCTAATAAGATTTCCTAAAGTTTAACCCATAGCAGTTTACATGGAGGTAAATAACAACTAACTAAAACTGGGCTGCACAGTATTTACTTATCCTGCCTAAGGTGACATAAATTCAACCAATGACTGAGCTAATGTTTTCATGCAGCAGATGACCAGCTAGTATGTGTGTGTGGTTTTAACTGAACAAGGTCTAAGAACTAAAGTTCAACCCCCGGATGTTCTATATAGAACCCCCAGGATTCTATATCTAGCTCCTATTAGTGAGAGCTAAAATACCACTCTCAGCCATTTTGCCAGCCTCACTTCCTGTGAACAGAACTAACCACACACCGAGTCCATCTGTCCCAATGGTGGAGGATGAAGTGCTGAGACAGCATGCCATATTCTACAAAAAGATCAATATTATGCATATCCAAGAGAGCTCACCTCTGTTAGGTTCCTGGTAAACCTGCACTTTGCCCATCTCCACCCCCAGCCGCCTAGAGAAGAGAAAGGAAGAAAAAGTTGAAAAGGTAAGAGAACAGACTCAATACCTTTACTGCTTGAAGATGATTCATACATTGATAAAAACAAAACAAAGCAAAATAAAATTCAAAGTGGATATTAAATTGTTGGAACTTTATTACCTAACACCTCACCCAACCCCATGTCTACCTAAGAAGGCCAACATCATCCCCTCAGCCTCACTGACCATTTCCTCATGCTCTCTTTACTCCCTGCACACCACAGGGCCTTTAAACCTGCTGCTGCTGCTTCTGCTGATGGCTTTGCCCCCAGACTCTCACTCAGTGGTTCATTCAATTTCTCAACTCACATACCATCCCTTTAATTTAAAAGGCATTCGAGTACCCAAGCTAAAGCAGAGCCACCTGCCCCCATCCCTCCTCTCACACTGTTTCCTCACAGCATTAAACCATCTGATGTCATCGTTTGTTTTGACTCTTCTCTTGTGGTTCCCCACTAAACGTACAAAGGAAGGATCCTGTCTTGGTTTTGCTTGTTCACTGTTAATGTCTAACATCTAGATAAGGCCTAGTATACAGTTTGGGTTTGATATTTACTTAATAACTAAAATTATGTCAAATTATGAACTATTTTCTTTATTGTTCTTTATACTCAAAATAATGCGACACATATGCAGCACCTGACAATCTGGCACTCATGAGGCATTCAATAAATATCTTTTGAATGAAGGCCTCCCTGGTGGCACAGGGGTTAAAGTCTCAGTGTTATCAAGCTATTCCCAGCCACTGTGGCAAAAGTTCATTTTCGGCCAGGGAGCCTAAGCCACATGGCACAGCAGACCTCTCCTGCCTTGCCCGCTGCTTCCTTCAGCAGTGTATTTCAGTAGATCTGCCTGTTCTGCTCCCCACTCTGTCTCTGGTGAATCCTCTCATACCCTCCTCCCCTACATCTCTGGCCTACACCCCAGTTCTTCAACACAAAATAAATAAATCTTTTAAAAATAAATAAATATCTGTTGAATGAATGTGTAGGGAATTACAAGAGTTTACAAAAGATTATCCCTTCATATATATATAGATGACACAAAGATTAACTACAGAATATCTGCTGTAACAATCAGTGTTAATCCAGTTATCAAATTTAAAACATCACACAATGAGAACAGATTTTAATGGTCCAGTTATAAACTCACTCAGCAATTTTCTTTGAAAGCTCCATACATGATAAATTAGAATTTGCTGAAAACAACACCAGACCTCCCTTGGTGACGTTCATCTTGTTTTGTAATTCAGGTGGCGCCACACAAAACATCAAAACCTTCTTAGTTTTCCAATTCTCAGAGCCTAGAAGAATACAAAAACATCAAGAACTGCCACATGGATTACATATACCTGGGTGGATTTTTTTTAATAGCAAATGAGTTTACCTAAAGGAAATTAGTTTTCACCATAATAGTCTTTGATATTTAAGTAATATATGAACAAATACAAAGTTTATTTAGATCTAGGGCTCCAAATTTATGGAAATAATGTTATCAGATGATTTAACTAGTTTTCATGACCACTGGGAATAAATGATAAACTTACAAGAAAGGTGGAGCTGAAGAGCTCAGTGTTTTACTGTTTGCTGCTTAAAGTCAATTATGGACAACCTCCTTTTATTCTCTGACAACAAAATTCCTCCTGGATTAACACACAAAAAATGGCAGAGCCATTAGGAAGGGTATGGACTGATTGATCATTAAATGATGAATAAATGACCCATCTACGCCCACCTTTTCCTATAATACCTGTTTACCATAAACTCCCTCCATTCCCCCTCTCCCTGGCCTTACAGCTGCCTCTCCAATACCCTGAGTCATCTCTAACACTGAGCTTGTCATCTGCATTTTTCTCCACCGGAACACAAGGTAAACTCAATTACATCTTTGAAAGAAAGTGAAGTGACACCCACATGGCAGGCAGCAGGGCACAAACAGAAAGGGCCATGGCCTAGAAGTTAGCAGCTGAAGTACTAACCCTCCCCACCCCCCACTACTAACATGCCCTTCCACCTTCAACTCTCTGGACTGAGTGCCCTCGTCATGCAGGGAGGATGCAGACTGGATGAAAACAGCAAGGAGTAGGCAGTGGGGGTCGGGGTTGTCTTCCCAGATAGCCCACTACAATGCCTTGGTTGTTTGTTTACTGGCAAGGGAGAGCTGGAGATTATAAAAGGGCTTAAAGCCATGTAGATCATTTTTGTTATTTTAAAATTTTAATTATACAAGTCATACAAAAATACATTCTCCTTATAAAAAACTGAAAGAAGATAGTTAAGGCTAAAGCCACCAGCCCCAACCCCAGCCTCCTCTCCACCCACCTCCCCAGTTCTTGGTAGTTTAGTATGGACACATTCACACAAGTGACACCACCCCCATAAACAATAATGTATGAAAAATATATTTGTAGCATTAAAAAGTATCACTGTACAAATCTATCTATTACCTGCATTTCTGTTAAAACAATATACTTTGACAATCTGGGCTGTGAACCACAGACCCATCTTTGTCCTCTGTAACTGCTGCCTGGTATTCTGTGGCAGGGACACCCCACATTTAGGAGGTCACCATCCTAAAAGGTGTCATTGTGCACAGGGCATGTCTCTCTGCAGTCACTGCAAGAAGGGAACCACTGGGTCACAGTGGGGTGCAAGTTATGGTCCCACCAGAAGGCTAGAGGAGCGCAATTCCCACACAGCACCTCTTAAGGGGCATTCCACAAAGGGAAATATAGGGCACTAAAATGGACGGTACCCAAAACCTAGGAATTACAATGGAAACATTTACAACACTGACCCAAGACCTGAGATCAAGGAGGACCACTGCAGCCTCCATGGAAAGTGGCTTCAGACCAGCAAGGAGCAAACTGTATCCCATGGGCCCAACCTGGTCCCTCCAAAGCTTTTTCTATAAATAAAATTGTATTGAAACACAGTCACCCTCATTGTTTATAAACTGTCTATGGATTCAATGGCAAAGCTGAATGTGGCTCACAAAGCCTAAGTATTTATTATCTGGCCCCCTACTGAGCAAGTTGTTGAGCCTTGTTTTACAGCATAGTGTCAGGCAGTGGCTGGTATAACTGAAAGAAAGAACACATTTAATCATCAATACTAAGAGTTGGAAGTGATCTTAGGTGTCTTCTAACACCATCTCTCAAGCAATCTTGGTGTTTTGGAGCAGTGGGTACCGGTCTAGGAAAGGCTTTGAAGTCACTCATGTTTGCATCTTGGCTCCTACACCCCCTTGACTCACTGCAAAGCCTGTAAGTTAAGTAGCTTCTACTAGCCTTGTCCTCACAACTGTGAATATTGATTTCTCAAGCGTATACAAAATTAATCTCTGTAGAGCACTTAACACAGTGCCCCATGTAACAGATATGCTTGGCAAATGGAAGCTACATATGAATCAACTTCATATTATGGTATCAAACAAGTACAGTAATATGCATGGGACAGTCATCTTTTCACATTGCCAACCTTCAAATAAGAAGCTACTTAAAGTGCATCAGCATTTGTGGAAGAACTCAGAACACTTAGAATGAAATATCTTGGGGTTAAAAAGAGATCTGAAAGGAAGTTCGATCCATCTAGGAAATTCCTGCCAAGGAACCACTCCAGATGTGTAAAAAGCCTGAGACCGGTGCCCGCTTCCTGTGGGCCCATTCATTCCAAATTCTTCCTCAGTATGCACTAAGATTGCTCTCCCTGAAAAGCTGTGTGGAGGTTCCTCAAAACACTGAAAATGGATCTATAATATGATCTAAAATCCACTCCTAGGAATTAACCCAAAGAACACAAAACACTAATTCAAAAGGAAGCCTGCATTCCTTTGTTTATTGTAAATAGCCAAGATATGAAAACAACCTAAATGTCCCAAAACAGATTAATGGATCAAGAAGTGATATATACATAATGGAATATTACTCAGCAATCAAAAACGATAAACTCATGCCATTTGCAGCAACATGGATGGAACTGGAAAGGGACTACGCTAAGCAAAATAAGTCAGAAGGAAAAAAGATAAATATGGGATAGCTTCACTTATATGTGGAATAGAGAGAAACCAAACAAAGGGTCAGAAAAAAGCTGACGATAGATCTGAGGTATACAGCAGGGGACACAAAGGAAACAGGGTGAAAACAGGGACTATAGTGATGGATCATGGGTGCTATGGAGGTGGGAAAACTACTGGGACTACACCTGAGGGGAGAATCAAATACTGTACAAAAATTAACAAAGATGTGAGAAAATAAATTTAATTAAAAAAAAAAAGACTGCTCCCTCAGAAGCCTCCACCCATTAGTCTTTTCCTTTCCTCAAAGATTTATGGGAAATATCAAATTCCTTTTCTGTAAGACTGACTTCAACCTATCTCAGGATGGTTCTCTTGCTTCCATGCAGTCTCTTCTCCACATTGCCATGGTGTAAGTTGATTGATCATGGTGTAAGTTCCTTTCATCACTCTGACTGAGGTCTTTTTGAAGTTCATCTTTAGATACCTGGTTTCTATAATCAAAACATAAGATACCCTCAAAATAGCACAGGTGGGAGGGTCCATTTGGAAATGGTTATCAGTACAGTCATTGCTCTATGACTATTCATTTCACAAGCTGCTCAAACATAAGGGCTGTTGCTAGTTTTAGATCTTTTCCCTATTGGAAATTTACCAAGCCTCAAGAAAAGTGAGGTTTAAAGATTATCCTCAGAAGCATAATCATCGCCAGAATGGGGCTGGCAGCAGGCTCATTAGCACAAGGCTGTAGTGTGAAATGGAGAGTAAAGAGAACGCTCCAATTTTCCTCCCATAAACAACAGTCGCTTTTGCATTTATCCTAAATTTACTCTAAAAAGTGTGAGATTTATAAACAATACAAAAACACACCTTTTTTTTTTTTTTTTTACAGAATCTCAGCACCTTTCAAAGAGCAAATCACAATCCTTTTTGAATGAGATGTGGCAAAACCTGTTTAGTCTCATGAATGAAAGCATGCTGAAAGACCACTTGCTTTGGATGTGCTAGCAGTCATTTCAAAACCACGCATCCATAATCCACATGAGGAGAAGAGCAAGGCCAGCATTAAAGTGTGCTGCTTGCTCTCCAAAGTGTCCACTGTGTAAACACCTTCTATCTAGAAATAGCGGTAGGAATGTAAAGACTTGCATTTGCCTTCCACACTTACTAACTCCCGGGATGTGGGCAGGTCACTTGCCCTCAACAGGCCTCAACCTTTCCCTTCCTCACAGCTGAGATAGTTGCCTAGTAAAAATTACTTCCCCATTGAAAGGTAAGGCCACAACAGCAGATTTTTTTTTTAACTATTATATTCTCTGTTATATATCCAATACCTGAAACAGCACTGGCATGCTGGAGAAGCTCAGCAAATGTGTTAAATACCCCAACCTCCATGAGTTACAATGATTTACAAATGCAACCGGAAGCAGTTTGGAAACTAAAAGTCAACATAAAACAAATTATTATTTTTACTAGTGAAACCTCTAAGAATATATTAAATATATATATATATCAGTATTGGAGAGAATTAGAAGGGCAAAACCGAAACTGAATTAATCTTCCACACCTCTGTGATCCCAGGCTCTTTGCTAATCCATCAAAACTATTTCTTCGGGCTGACATTTGCTGAGTGCTCTGAATTCTTATAACTCAATAAAACGAGTACTACACCCATTTCTGACATGGGAAAGAGAGTCTTGGAGATGAAGAAACTTACTCAAGGCTGCATGGCTCTGAGCTCCAAACATGACCTCAGCTTCAGTCTGATCTGTAGTACAGTTGTACACAATAGCAGGCTGCAATGACGGTCTCCCAACACCACAAAAAATGACTTTGACACCCCAACGAATTCCACATGACTGCGAGAGGAATGGGTCAAGTATCCAGATGCCTATTGTAAACATACCTTGCCAATAGGAAATGCCTATTGTAAACATACCTTGTTTGAGTAACAATTAATATGAAGTGCCAAAGGAATACCTAACTTTGATTCAGTATTTCACCTTCCGGGAATTGACTCCAAGGAAAGAAAAAGCTATAAACTCAATGATGGGCACGTGAAGACTTTTTTAAGAGGGGTTACACAGGACACATGGAAAGGTTCCATAATGAGGTAATTAAGTAAAACTCTGAATATATACATTCAATATCGTAAAAACTGTAAATATCCAGCAGCAAAAGCGCCTATGTTGAGTGAATAAGAGAATTGTGTCTCCTCTAATCAAAACTGGGTAATAATGGTATAGACCAGGAGATCGGGGCTCAATCACGTGGGTGAATTATTTTTATTTGTGCATGTAAATTTCTTAAACATTAGAAATCACACTTCCTCAAGCCCTAAGTCCCCTTTCCGCATTTCCTTATTCCTCACAAAAACTGAACACCCAAACTGCGCCAATACTAAAATGGGGGGAGAAGGGGAAATCCTTATCATCAATGTAATGTACTGATTGGGGCAAAACATTTGAAAGCAGAGTATCTAAAAATTACCTTGCGGTCCTCCCTCAATCTCTGCTGGGTGAGTTCTGAGTGCTACCCTTTTGGGGCTACCACAAATGTCGGCGACCAGCAAGGCCAGTCAAGTTAAAAGCAGGGGTTCTGTCCGATTAAACATCGGAGATGGCTGTTCTGGGCTTGTTTTCTGAACTGCCCAGCCGCAGGTCCCACAACCAGGACTTCACTCGCACCGGTGCCCGTAAGGTGGGCTGAGGAGAGGGGCGCGGCGCCCGCGCGCCAGGCGATCTCCGACAGGAGAAGGAAGGGAGGTGGCGGCTTCCGGCGCGAGGCCGGGGTCTCCCCTCCGTACCCCCGGCCGCCGCCCGAGATCGCGCCCCGTCCGCCAGCCGGCGCCGCGGGGCTCCCCGCCCCTTGCACCTGCGCCCCGCATCGCCGCAGCCCGCCGGTCCGCGCCGCCGCTTGCCGCCGTCTCCCGCCCGCCTACCTGGCCCCGACCCCAGCCCCGGCCCCGCCGCAGCCTCCGCTGCCGCAAGAAGAAAGCGCCGGGTCTCCGGGCAGCGTCTCTAGGAGCAAAATGGCGACTCCATGCGCAAGAACGGCGTCCGCGACGACTGCGAGGCCCGGGGGCGGGGGCGGGGCCGGGGGCGGGGCCAGGAGCTGGGACCGCGGGGTCACCTGGCTCGGGGTCGTGGGCGTGGCCCAAGGGAGGGGGCGGGGCGGGGCCCTGCGGCCAGGCAGGGGGTGGGGCCAGGCCAGCACGGGGGCGGGGCGGGCGGGCCTCGAGGCCCCTGGGGTGCCGCTCCCGCGGGTGCGGATGTGAAAGGGAGAAACCGCTGAGAGGAGTGTGAGCTGAGTATGAGATCTGGAATTACAGATGTCTGGCTCAAGTCTTTACTGGCTGTAACCTTGCGCGAGCCACGTCACCTTCTGAGCCTGAGCTGCACTATTCACCTCTTCGCCATTCCTACTTAAACATCTCGGTTCAGTTGCCATTTTCAAGTCTTCCCTAACCCACCCACCCCCAAAAGAAGCCCTATTACTTGTCATTTCCTTTTATTAAGCTTTTCGTGGTTGCTGAATAAAGTCAGCGTGAGGATTGAGATAACAACTGCAGGGTTTTTAGTACAGTTCCTGGCATGTAGTAAGTGCTTTATTATTATTATTTCCACGTACTTGGTTGGACTTTCTTTTTTTATTATAAAGAAATGGATTCTTTTGGTAGCCATTGCTTGAATTCTTTCTAATTTAAGAATTAGAACACTTTAGCCTTTTATATAATATTGTAAACACAGATCAGCAAATGTTATGTGTCTGGCCAGGTCTTCTTAAAAACTCACCCTATACAAGCCGTAATTTATTCTAACAAGTTAATATTATCTTCATTTCAATAGTTGTGGGTACTGAGACACCAACATTAAATAACCTAAGCAATGACAAAAATTAAAAAATAAAGTGGACAAGGTTATAACCTAGATGGTCTGACAACAATGTCTGCAATAAACTAACCCCTGTACCATACCACCTCTCCAGTTGTGCTTTGGATTTTTCACAAGGAGGCTGAAATCACCCATTGGAGGTTGCCCAACTCACTGGAAGCAGTCTTCATAGCCCAACCTCTTATTCTACAGTTGGCATATACAAGGATATCAGCTTATAAATTACAAATCAGGTGGTTCTTCATGAAATGGAGTCCTTGGAGATATTTCCTTTGCCTGACAACTATACAGGGACACCTCTTGGCAAAAAGCAAGGCCCACAGCACACTGACAGAGGAGCGTGATACGAGTTTCTTCCAGTGGATCTCTGTTGGATTTGTGGCCCTTCTTCTGCACTATTCTAACCTGGAACATACCCCACTCCTTGCTTGGGTTGCATTGGCTCTACCCTTTATAGCTCAGGTTGGCAAATGATTAAATATGGCCCATCACAGTCACATTCCTCCCAGTTTGCTGATTCACTTCAAGAATAGGCCTCTGAATCAATCTGAGCCCACGAGACCCAATCCCCAACGCTGCATGGGACAGTGGCTACATGCTCTGTGTTGTTGCTGCTGGCAGAGTACCTGGAGGGGTAACCACCAAAGAGATGGTGAGAGAGGGAAGGACAAAGGCAGCTCACTTGAGTTTAACAAGAAGTTAAAGTCAATAGGTCCCTGCACTTCTCAATTACAGGGCCCAATAAATTCCGCCTCTCCACCCTCTGAAGCCAGTGCAGATGGGATGCCCACTGCATGCCAGGGTCGGGGTGTTCTCCGCCCCACCTCACCCACCCCACTTCTCATTTTTCTTCCTCTCCTGCCTGATCCTCCACTCTTGAAATATGTCTTTGCCTGTGCTCTTCTGACCTCTGGGAATGCACTTCCTCCTGCAGTCCTCTTTACCATTAACTCCTATTTAAACATCTCAGTTCAACTGTTCAAGTCTTCTCTAACCCACCCACCCAAAAAAAGCCCTATTTCTTGTAATTTTCCTTTATTAAGCTTTTCATGCTTGCTGATTACTGCTAATTATATATTTATTTGAATTACCTTCCAAATATCCCCACTCCAACCCCAGTGTGGGGAGACCCTTGTCTCTTTTGCTCATCACTGATTCCCAGTATCCAGCACTGTGCCTGGCACAAATATGATACTCAAGAAATGTCTGTGTCTAAGCCTGGAAGACCCAAGGAAAAGAATCCTTGCTCTAGTTTCATAATAGTTTCTCAGCAGAGTTTTAAGAGGCAGCACAGACTTCTCTTTCAAATGATGATGGAAATGGAAACAGAGGCACTTGGCCCAGGGTCTGTATCTTGCCTCCTCTCAGCTTCAATTTCCTCACCTGAAAAATAAGCACTAAGGGGAACTCCCTGGTGGCACAAGGGGTTAAGACGCAGCACTATGGGCTATCCGCAACCACTGCAGCATGAGTTCAATCCCTAGCCAGGGAGGTAACCCACATGGCACAGCAGACTTTTCCTGGCTCGCCTATAGCTCCCCTCAGCAGTGTATTTCAGTTAATCTGCCTGTTCTGTTCCTCATTCTGTCTCTGGTGACTCCTTTAACCCCACACACACACACCTCTGACCTATACCCCAGTTCCTGTATGCATAAAAAATCTTAAAAAAAAAAATAAGTGCTAAGATTGGCATCCATCTGGGGACTTAGAGTGACTTTCCAATGGAATCCAAGAGTAAGAGGCCATCAGAGGAAGCTGTTTTGCAACTGCCTCTCCACCCTCCCCTCACATCTCGGGCCAGCAGGAATGAATAAACAAGTCATTGGTTTTCCCTAAGTGGAGGAAGACCGCAGCCTGTCTGGCCTTGAGAGGCTGCAGATGCAGGTGCCTGGTCACTAGTCAGGGGGACCTTCGAAGTTTCTGCCCTTGCGTCCTTTCCCTCATCTTCTACTCCCCCCTCCAAAAAAAAAAAAAATGGAAAGTGCTTCATTGTCTTTCAAGACTATTAATATTGCTCATTATAAACAGAATTCGGACCAAGAGAAAAAGCAAAAGATAATTGCCATTACCTCACCGTGGAGAGATAACCACGCTTAACATTTTTTAACCTCTCTTTTCACTTGACAATTTAATGAAGACATTATTCATGTTAAAGACTTTAGCTCAATGTTATTGTCAGGTGTGCAATAACCATGGGCAAAAGAGCATAAACTTGAAAACCAGATCACCTGTATCCAAATTCCTTGTCCTCCACTCACTAGTTGTGAGACCTGAGTTTTGTGATCTGTACCTTTCTGTACCTACTTCCTCACCTGTAAGAAGGGAGGATGATAACAGCGCCTACTTTGCAAGGTGGTCCTGATGACCAGAAGAGTCACCTGGCACACACTGGGAACCACTTTCTATTAGCCACATTTATTAACAGTGTGTTTCATTATTATTGTTGGCCACACTATTGTGGTATGGATGAACCATGACGCTTTGTGTGTGTGTGTGTGTGTGTGTGTGTGCAGAAGAACTGGGGTATAGGCCAGAGATGGGGAGGGTGTAGGGGGAGAGGATTCACCAGAGACAGAGTGGGGAGCAAAACAGGCGGATCTACTGAAATACACTGTTGAAGGGAGCAGTGGGTGAGACAGAGGGGTCTACTGTGCCATATGTGGGTCCCTGCCCAGGGGTTGAACACAGGCCTAACAATGATAGTACTGACACTTAACCCCTAGCCGCCAGAGAGGCCTGAACCATGATGCTTTTAACCAATCTCTAATGCTGAGCATTTTCTACTATGATATATAACCTGTCTTTGCACCTTTGCTCCAGTACTTCCTCACATTAAACTTGTAAAAATAAATATGTTGGGTTAAAGGGTATGCCCTTTTAAAATTTTGTCCCCCAGAAATTGTATACCAATTTAGTCTTACCAGAAAAGTGAAGTATGCTATTCCCCCCACACACACACAACACCAGACACTCTCCATTTTTCAACTTTGCCGAGTGGAAGCTCATTGTTTCCTGGGCTTTTAAAATGACTTATCAAGCTGTGTGGAGATTTCTGGACCTACTAAACATAGAGCTTCCACAGGATCCAGCAATTCCACTCCTAGGTATTTACCCAAAGGACACAGAAACATCAATTCCAAAGAACACCTGCACCCCTATGTTTATAGCAGCACTATTTACAATAGCTAAGCTTTGGAAACAGCCCAAATGCCCAAAAATAGATGACTGGATCAAGAAGATGTGGTACATATACACCATGGAATATTACTCAGCATTCAAAAAAGATAAACACATGCAATTTGCAGCAACATGGATGGCGCTGGAAGGGATCATGCTCAGCGAAATAAGCCAAAAAGAAAAATAAAAATACCGGATGGTCTCACTCATAGCAGGAATCTAGAAAACTTAAATAAGGGACCAGGAAAATGAATAACTATAAGAAAGTGAAAATCAAAATCAACAAAAACTATGAACCAGAGACACTTTTTGGGGGGTGGGGGGAGGGAGGGGAGGGATTGGGGTCAGAATGGGGGGATTGCAATTGTATGGGGAATATAAAAATAAAATTTATTAATAAAAAAAACAGATTAAAAAAATAAAATAAAATGACTTATCAACATCAAGCTATCTGCTGCCACCCTGGGCACCTTGCTCGCTGCTCTTCATTCACTCGCTCAACAAATATGGAGTGCTTGCTGTGTTACAGGCTAGCACGGAGAGCTGTTTCTTATAAAGTTAAATATGCAACTACTTTAAGATTCAGCAAACTCACTTGTAGGCATTTGCCTGAGAGAAATTAAAACAAATGTCCATCAAAAAGTCTTGTACATGAATGTTCATTACAGCTTTACACATAGTCTCCAAAAATT